TGACTCATACGTCCTTCATCATTTTATGAAAACAGTTTGCTGTTCTACAAAAATCACAACAGGTTGGAGACTATCAACGAATGAAAGACATACAGTAATGCCAGACACAAACGCATGGCTTCACGCTTGGATACGTTCAGCACCTGGGTGCATGCTCTAATTTTCCAGAGTGGGCGTCATGTCGCCCATGCATCTGCTTGACCTTGCATATAGGATAAAATGTAGTGAAGCGCATGAAGGATGAATATATACCTCAAGTGGCACCTAGCTGTGAAGCAATTAAAATCCGTCCGTAAACCAGAGAGACTGACGTATCCTATGGATAAACATCCTGTGTAGAGTTGGTGCCGTTGCTTCCTCAGGGCAAATTGAGAGGGGTTGGGGCGAGCATAGGGTATCATTGCTCACTACTCATGGTCCGCGTAACTTGTTTCCGGGGCGAGCTGGCATCATACGGCACATGACGCACTGCTTATTGATCAAATGCAATGTTTGTATATTGGTTTCAAAAATCGAGGAGCGAGGGCCGCACGTCTAATCTAGCACAATCATATGACGTCATATGATGTCATATGATATCTATGCGATAGTGCAAATATCAGCCCCTGCGTAGGCACAAGTATCTTTATCATGGGTCCCCAAGCAAGATGCATGTAATGGAACATATCAAAATGGCAAGAGCAGCCGAGGCCACTGTTGGCGACCAAATCGCGAGAGGAGGCTGAGTCAAGCACCCAGTCAGATGTATTTTTCTGGACTTTGACACTGCATGACCACCTTCACGACACGAAGAGTCTTCATGAGCCATCCAAAGCAAGATCCAAAGCAAGCCATTTGCGCAACAGCTTTGTGCCAAGAAGACTTGCAAGAGCTGCCTGCCCCTGATGTACCGGACTGCCGCCACTCAACCGCATAGGTCACCTTCCCAGATGGACAAAGCTGGTGCTGCACAGCACCGAAAGGCATAAAGGCATAGAAAAGCCATGAAATTCCGTTCTGGCCATTCTTGTCTGCTATCGTGGGACGAAGATGAATGAAGTGCCTTCTGGTCAATCCTGAGACCCGGCCATTCCAGGATCAATGCCTCAGAAATATACACAGACACCACCCAAATGACAACATCGTCCAATGCACTGACGCCGGTCCTCCAAAAAGGCTTGCTTCACTCCAATCTTTGACCATTCGGCCTGAATGGCAAAGTCTTTTGAGCACCAGGATCTATTGCACACACGGTTGATCACGGTTGTATGGCGTTGAATTCACAACATGCCTCCAGGTACAAGTTTGCATCGCTTCCAGGAGCCTCGATGAGGACCCATCCTCAGTGGCACCACTGCAATGGAAAATTTTACGGCACCCACTGGCCCGCATATTGACAATCGCAAAATACATTTTAAATATGATAAAACATGATTAACTATGATTGGATACAATATGGTGCCTATTTGAGCAGCCAAGCTATGGCCCATGTAGCTTCCGAAACCTTCCAAAAGTACAGCTTTTCATGGATGGGTTCAGTTTTCTTCAATGATGCTACGATACGACCATATACCGATGCTACTAAGCATATGATATTGTCTGATATTGTCTGATGCTTATTCAATGGCTCATTCACGCACTTCTGTCTTTGCACGTTTCCTGACACCCCAAAGCCCTGAGAAGCAGCACCTTCCTGGCTTCCATCCAGCCTGGCATAAGTGGAACAAACGGGAAAAAAAACATTAAACACCTTTGAAGTCTGTCATTTCAAGCCATTGCATTCCAGTTTTCACTAGTCTACACTGCATCTAAAGACCCACCTCAGCCAGCTTCCACTTGGAAAGCCCTTCACGATCTCTCCTACACTGCATGGCTATACTCTGCCATGGAAATATCGAGATGATGTGTATTAGCATTGTGCTTTTTCTTTCAGCAAGGCCTTTCTTCAAGGTCTGCTTCCTCAGCACGCATGATTAGATGCAACAATGCAGGGCCATCTTGTGCTTTATCAACTTTCTGTGTTGGATCTCAGTTTGGCGCGCTGGACTATGAATGCTAGGTTCTGCCCGCAAGCAGGCCTTTTCCGAAACGACCTGTCACGCACATGAAACATGAAACTGGTTGGAAGCTGCGGAAAAGAAAAGCAAAGTTGAAACAAGTTGAAGCAAGTTGAAACAGGTCGAAAAGTCGAACTATGTCCAGGTGATCCGAAATTTCCAGACCTGAAACAGAAGAGGTTCTTTGCCCAAGACCTAGGCGACCATCAACTTGTCAGGACTCCAAAGACGGATTGGAGGCGGACTGTGCGTTGTTGAAACTGGAGACACTTCTTGAGACACTTCTTGAGACACTTCTTGAGACACTTCTTGAGACACTTCTTGAGACACTTTGAGACACTGCCAGGTGTGAAATGTGCATTTCAACTTCACATAACTTCACAACAGATCTCTTACAAACCCTACCCCAGCAAGACCTGTATTTGAAAGATCGACCTTTGTCTCCTGTGAGCCCTTGGAGACATCCAGTGATGCTGGACTGGAAGAAAGTAAGGAACCAAACTGGATTTTGGGGAGCCACAAGGAACCGCAAGGAACCACGGTGCATTGTCACATGTGTTCACATCTGTTCACACGGAACATCATGAAGCCACCGCTCTGGCGCCCAGCTTGACAGGCACGATCTGCCCGAAGCCTGGTGCCATAACTGATTTTCTTGATGTCACACTTTTGGGAATGTGTAACTTTCTTCAACTTTCATAGTCAAGTGATTGCAGTAGCAAAACTGACATTCTAATTGCATTCTACATCATTCATGCTACATCATTCTACCATAATGATCTACTATAGTGTACCTGTACGAGACCATTCTTAATATGCAGTCAGTATTTCTTTGAGCACACGCTCAGTCCGCTCAGTCCAGGTGGTCCAGAAGAGACCACAAACGAAGGATAACGAAGGACATATAGTCATATTGATTCAAAGATGTAATTTATTGATGAATAATCTGCAAGTCAATGTATGTATATGTATGTCACTTCAAGCCATCATGGCCTCAGAGAGTCTGTATTACGCAGTGCTGGTTTCTCCGCAACCCTGTCAAGCGCAGTCAAGTCTTGCTTTGCTGCACATGTGCAGGGGCAGTGCAGCTTGTGCTGATGTCTGAGAGCATCTCAGTAAAAAATCAGCGTCATGCGCCAAGTGTCACTGTCTATGTCACTGTCTGTGTCACCTCGTTTCGAGGCTTTCAAGGATTTCTCCGTCTCGTAGTGGCTCCAGCAGCACCTGGGGCTTGCCAAGGCTGGTCATGAATTTCGCTTGAAGCTAGGTGTCACCAGCGGCCGCCATTCATCATTCCAGTTTTGCCATGTGTTGAGGATTCTTGAGGAGCGTTGTGATGGAAATTATCCACTGAGCACTGTGCTCCAAGGTCTGGTCTGTCCGCAAAACAGCCTTCTGTAGCAACATACGCCTGTGCACACAGCGCAGAGGCAGAGAAATTTGGATAACAACAAATGATAACAAATGGATATATATATATATATGTATATATAAATGATGATAAATGATGATTTAATGGATGTCACCCTGTCTGCAAGTTTTGACAAATCCGCGATGATCACTAAACTACTAGGCAGAAAATCCAGTCCAAGCTGTACATGCTGCTTGCATTGGTGGTGATGCTTTGGGATGAATTGAGACAATCCTCAGAGTGTACACGCAGAAGACGAATACAGACTCTGCAAATGAATACAAGAGTACTTCAAGAGTAGTTATACTAAGTTAGTTATACTATACTATGTAGTTATACTCTCCTTTTCTGCTGCACTAGAACACTACCGTGTTACTGCCCCTACCCCACAGACAATGGCCTGTCCTAGCACTACTAGCATCCTGGCGCTACTAGCAACGTCTATGGCTGGTACAGTTGCTACAACCACAGCGTACTACAACTAGATCCATGACTTGCAGTCAGAACCATTGTTGCTACATGTACTACTATCAAGGTTCATCCATGTAGCGGATCAAAGGTTAAATTTAAAAAAAAAGTTGCAACACCACACACGACGCAACACTTTACTGCCTTCAGTCAACCTAACTCTAGGGCATGATGAACTCAACTCAACAGAACCCAACGCAACCTGGTGCTAGTCAACGCAAGTCAAGTCATTTGCGGTACTGCAGAGGTGCAAGTAGCAGGAGTAAAAGATGCTGCAGTGTTTCTTGTAAAGCACACATGCCACTACTATGGCAAGGAAAGACTATGCTTTCATATGCTTTCTATGGCAAGCAACGAAATGGTCCATGGTGAAAAATGTATGAACATGTATGAAAAAGTCACGAAATGCAGTGTCATTGCTGTATAATCTGTATACAGTTCCCCTGCCCTCCGGAGACTACTGGCAAATCTTCTGACGGCCCTGGTAGGCACCCGCTAGAACTCAAACAGACAGCACTCTGGCAAAGCCCACATTTAGACAGCACCAGCAGGGCCGAAGGTATGCGATGGTATGAGAGCGAAAGCACTTGTTGATCCCATCTTAGGTGAGGAGTGGCCAAGAGGTCGTATAGGGCTTCTTTCTTCACTGACCAAGTTAGTGGCAACATGTGGAATAGACGTGGCATGATAATCAACACATATCAACACATCATCCCAATGCACAGGTGACAGATACGGCGGTTTCACAAGTTGATGCACAAATCATGCGGATCGGCGTTGGTTCCACACCTGGTTCGGTGCAAAGTTGAGGCGTTCGCAACTGTGCGCTGACAGTTTGAACCAGCCATCTGTTACCTCAGATCTAAGCTCTGCCAGATCTCTAATATTGACACGTGAAACATCGTGAAACTGTGAACCCATCAAGATCCATCAAGCCTCTCCGAACAGAACAGATCCTTCATGAACAAAGCCGACCTGGCGTAAACTCACCACTGATTCTCGCCCAAGGAAGGAGATGGTAGGATCTGGTAGAATCCCTTGGGATAATCACACTTTGCAAAGCAGAGTTCGGCAAGGCCGCTCATTTTTCACCGCCAGGCTCTGTACAAAGTGATACCTGAACTTGGAGGGATGTTGCACTAAGAGGCTTTCCCTTCAAGAGTTCTCCGCAGTGTTCGGCTCAAGGTCTTCCGCCTCTAGCGTCTCTTCATCAATATTTGATGTCTGACAAGCGCTTGAAGCCATGAACTTGCAGATTTGCACGGCTGTCAAGCGTGTTTTGCTTCATCTTGGGTCGCGCAGGCTGCCTTGGCGCATGCGATGAGAAGTGCTCGACTTGTTCTCTTACTGACTTCTTCATTTCTTCATGTATCTTCAACTTCAGGCAGTGCAGCTTCAGCACGACAGACTGTCTGTAACTGCAAAATTGCTAAGGGGCTGACGGCATATTTCAGTAGATTGATCCTCAGTAGAGTTTGTGTCACAGCACATCAAAGCTCTGCAACAGCGAACACGATAAGTATGTCTAATGAAGGGCTGAGTGGCCGAGCTACCTCAATGCCTACAGTAAGGCTTATCAACTGATCCCCAATGATCCCTAAAGATCCCTAAAGATCCCTGAAGATCCCCAAAGATCGAAAATGAAGAGAACCCGAGAGAACCCATCTTCGCTCTCGAAACAAGTCTTTTCCTGTCAAGGAGCAGGGACCAGCAAGCAGTATCCTGCTCAGAACCTCATTTAGGTTTGGCAGAAAAAGTGAAGCATTTTTAGACAGGAACCAAGTCGCAGGAAACTAAGCAGGGTGCGGCCTTCAATGTCCGTGGGTCTCAAGTGTGGTGCCCCATATTTGGTCACGACTGCCTGCTTTGAATTGCTCAGTAAGTTGGGCCAAACATGACCAAACTAAGTTCTTGCCTATGACTCTATGACTCTAATTTTTGGTGTGTGTGTGTGTTGTGCAAAGCAAACTTGCAACGACCTTTTCCCGAAGAGTAGCTGAATTACAGTTCCGGATGCTGATAAACATACTTCACGCAGCCAACCATCTAGTGAGTTGAGAGGACCAAGGCTACTGTATCGTTGAGGCAGGGAAAACAAAAAGATGTTACAGAGAGCGAGAGATGTTACTTCAGGACACGCCAGGAATTCTACCATTGTATCCCAAGCGCTCCGCGGTTTCAAAGGATATAAATCTATGGAATGAGGAAGATTGATGGAAAGATTGTCTGTGCTTGCATGCGTGTTTGCGTGCTTGTTTGGTTGAGTGTCTTGCTTGCATAAGTTGGGTGGCCATGTGTGAGTTGGTTAAAGTACTTTGAATTACTCAACGCATGGTTGTGAGATGTGAGTGATTGTACGCATGCCAACGCATTGAGGACGCAGAGCGTGGTGACTTGTACTCACCACAGGGTTCGAGGATGTTCGAGGGCAAGAAACAGTCCACTGCAGACACCAACTCTGGCAAGACCTTGGAGCACCAGTGGAGCACCAGTGGAGCACCATGAGCACCTGTTCTACGTGCAAAACGTCCCAAAACGTCCAAAACGCCCAAAGACGTCCCAAAACGTCCCAAGGAAGCCTCTGCTGTGGATCCTCCGAGATTATCCAAGCATTCTCCGAACATTTCCAGATCCAGAGGAAATTCGAGGTTCTCTGAGGTTCTCTGCAGATTTCGTGCATACATGTCCTACACCAAGCTTGGCATCTCGCCTGTACCTTGCCTGCATGAAAATACTGTGTTTTGGAAATCATGCGATTTCAAGTTCGGTGAGTGACTGAGGGAGTTGGTTGTTGAATGAAGTTGAGGTGAGCTGAGGTGCAGGAGAGTGAGGGAGTGTGTCCTTGACTGGGTGACTGGGTCACTCTTGGAATGCCATTGCATTCAGCCGAGAAAACTTAAGGTTTCTCTTTGAGATCTATTCTATTGTATTCTATATATAAAACTAGTGCCTGAAGGAAATGCATGGAAGTAACAAGAATGATTCACCTTTCCTGCCTCCACTGCTTCACCCACATGTTCCGATGATCCAAGCTTTTTATAAACTTGCCTCGCATAATCAAGTTTATCAGACTTGCATGTCACAGCATGCAACAACTGTCACTGCAACATACTGTAACTGTAGCATCATTGAATGCATCCTGCAGTATGTCTCGCGCTGTCAGCAGAGTTCAAAGTCTTAGCAGAAAAACCTTTGTAATCGATCGCAAGGCTAGGAGCCCGGCTGGGCAAGCTCAACCTCTGATCATGTGCAGTATTTTCCACTGACAAATTGTAAAACTCAGTGTAGACTGCAACCTGGAACTGCAAAAACAAACAAGTCGCTTGTGTGTGTAATCTGCTCCAAAGAAACAAACACTGCAGCCACATACGTTGAGCATACGACCACAGCCGGCTGATGCCGGCTGTGTTGCACCAAAGGATACCAAAGGTATTACACGAGTATCAGTGCGTACACCATGGGACAACTGTGGGCATCACATCACACCCGGCGTTAGCTGGGTCTGTGGCAGCTTCCGCTCCGCAACGCTGCGAACAGCGCGTCAAGAAAGAGCTGTTGTCTGCAAGTTTTGAGAGCCCATCAGTCCATCAGAAAACTCTCTTGTGCAGCACAAAATCAAACGCCATGGATGTTTCAGACGATGCCCCACTGGGGTCAGCACTCATTAAGGAAGTCAGGGCCGCTGCTTCAGCGGCTTTCATGGGTCCATCAAAAACAATCTGCGCAGCTCAAAGGCTTGGACTTTGAAACATGAAGACTCTTCAATCGCTTCACGGACAGCTATTCTGAACCAATCAATAGGTTGCTAGTTCAATCCAACATGTAACATGCGAAACTCTTCAGGGGTGACAGTGGTCCTCTTCTTCATCGGGCATATCAGCCGCAATGTCTCCAAAGTCCCTGCAGGCTTCGTCTGTTTGAAGACTGAGCAAACGCATCTGAGATTGCATCATATTGCATCAACGAAAATCTTAGAGAACATACCAGTCAATGAGAACCGTTGATAACCAGTTCTTTTCTCCGTCTTGTTTTGTTCCTGTGTTTGCCTGTGCCATTGTTTGTTTTGCCGTTTCTCCACTCAAAGCGTCAGCCTGGCATCAGCTTCCTCCGATTCTGCCATCTGTTTCCAAGTTGGACGATGTTTAGGAACAGAGCTGCCCCGCGCGAAAAGCTTCAGGCTCAAGTAATACTAGGCATGTTAAGATATGTTAAGATATGTTAAGATATGTTAAGATATGTTAAGATATGTTAAAATATGTTAAGATATGTTAATATGTTAAGATGCAAAGGAAGACTGGGTCGTGCAAGGAAAAGTGACCCGTATTCGGGTGCTCCCAGTTGCTTGTGTTCCATGTCATTGGCCAGGGCAAAGCTGCCACTGCGTTTGCTGCCACTGCGGTTCATCCAAGCCTCTCCCTCACCCAAATCAATGCTGTGAGCCGAAAAGTCAGGTCTGCAAGAAAGCAAGTACCAATTCATTCAATGAAAACATGATTAACGTCAAAGTGCCCGTCAGTCACCTTGAAAAAAACAATGACCCTGCATGACCCTGCCATATGCACAATCCTGAATACTGCCATGTCACCGGTGCTGCCGTTGTAGAGGGCTCTTTGCGGACATAGACTGTGGCCACAACCACCTCCGGCGCTGAGGCATGTCCAACATACTGTAGCTATATCATATCTCATTGAAATTTGAAGTTCCTGCCTGGTACTTCTGCACCTTCTGCACCTCCTGGGCCTCCTGCACTTTCTGCACCTTTACTTCCAAGTCAAAGCAGAAAAGATCATAAAAGTCATAAGACAACAAATTGTTTTCCAGAAAAGTCTGACAAAATTGACTCCACACTGTGATCCTGGCTTCAAGGTCAAACCTGCACGATTCTGAAAGGTCAAGGAGGACCGAGAAGGGCGCACGGAAGATGAGATAGCTAAAGTAGGATGACATATAGACCGCTGCACATTCGAACCATACTGTGTTGGTATATTATCATTATATAATACTTACTGGTTATATACCATTTGATAGATGCTCTGCAAAATACGGTCATATGTACGATCGCACATACTGCACTATTGTCTATACCACTATACATACGACCATACGTCTATATGTACTTGTGAGAAGGCTATCATATACACAGTGATATATGTACTTTTGGCAATACTACTATATATATTATATATATATATATTCCTGTAGAGCATATATATATATATGGAGTACTGCATATGCTACTACTCTATATTTATATACATACATATGTATATATATATAGTCCTGTATGTACTGCTATATATATATATATTTATATATATATATATCCTGCTGTACATACTACTATATATACTACTATATATGCTTACTACTATGTACATATTCCTATACATATACTAGTGTATATATATATCACTACGTATATACTGCTATGTATATATATACATAGTTCTATATATATATATAGTTCTATATATATATATATATAATTATATATATATTGCTATATATATATATACATAGTGCTATATATACACACTGCATGCTGTAACTTCGTATAATATATATACTGGAATATGTACTATCATAGATTTGTGCGCGTGCTGTTGTATCTACTATTGTGGGTACCATTATAATCATTACAATTTATTATAGAGAATAATGTCACTGTCATACACTCTTCTGCTATTCCAAGATGTTGTACTGTTCTATGTAATATGTGATATGATATACTTATCATGGCCGTTTCCAGCTACAAGGTTGAAAACAATGATTAATTAAAAAAAGTGAAAAAACTGTGAAAAAATGTTTTTTTTTTAAAAAAAAGAAAATGCATGGTTAAAAAATGTGAAAAAATACATTTCAAAAATGTGAAAAATGTGAAAAATGTGAAAATAGTGTGAAAAAAGTGTGAAAAATGTGGAAACATGTTGGAAAACAGGGAAATGCATTGTTTAATACTTTTCCGAATTTAAATTAAAAAGAATTTACATTCATTGTGAACCTATTGGCATGAATCATTGGCATGAATCATTGAAAATGAATATATGCTTATGTGGAATCCTAATGCTTTAAGTTTAATATTATATAATTTAAAATTGGATTTCAAAGAAAACCTGGAAAAAACTATATCTGGAAAAATTGGAAAAATGGTGTATTGTTGTCTAGCCAATAGTGATATCTTGTCAATAGTAGAAACATTTTTCCGCAACTCCAATTTTTCTCCAATACTAAAAGTCAATTAGCTCCATTTACTTTTAGTATTGCCAAAAGAGTCATGTTCAGACCTTGTCCAGAGGGCATGGCCAATAGTGGACCCAACATGGCAATAGTGGAAACTGTTTTCCCAACTCCAATTTTTCTCCAATACTAAAAGTCAATTAGCTCCATTTACTTTTAGTATTGCCAAAAGAGTCAAGTAAAGCAAATCCTTTTCAAAGCAGCCTTCACTTTTGATTAGCAAAAGCTTAGATTCCAGAAATCTGATCCAATTACCAAACAGCTGATTTCCTTATAAAACCCTTATTAAAAAAGCAAGAAAACAGGTCCACAAAGGGTACCCCCTTTGCAAGCCCCAGAACAGCAATAACAAACCTGCACCAGGCATGGCAATAGTGGAAACTTTTTTCCGCAACTCCAATTTTGTTGTCCTCCTTCTCCTTCTCCCCCTTCTCCTTTCCCAACTCTTCGCCAATCTCTCAGAAACCCAACCAAATCCATTCAGAATCTATCAGAAACCCAACAAAACCATGGAGAATCTATCAGATACATATCATGATCCCAGCTATAAGGTTCCAAAAAATTACTATTGGAATGCTGACCCCCCCCTATTTTTTTAAAAAATGTTTTATTTAGGGGGGATTTACTATTAGGCAGCCTACATTAACTAAGAAATCCAAGAAACAGGAACTTTTCAACTGCCTTTTGTTCCCATTTCGCACATTTTTCACATGTTATTCACATTGTTCACATGTTAAAAGCGCATTTTTCACATTTTGTCCAAGCGCATTTTAAAAAAAATGTGAAAAAATGCGTTTTGAAAATGCACTTGGAAAAAAGTGAAAAACATGTGAAAAAAATGTGAAAAAAAACATTTGAACATCCAGCTGGGAAGATGGAACTTTTATTTTTTGGGGTCCAGTTTTGCTCTAGTTACTTTGCTGCCTGCCCAACTTCTGCAAGTTGAAAATCGGAGAGGAGCAGTTCAAATCGATCGGAAGTGGACTGTGCAGATCGCAGATCTGTTTAATATATCTATAGCAAAGCAATGACTACCAGGAGCAAAACATAAAATCAAATGCAGAAGGAAAAGGAACAAAGCTTCAAAATTGTTTTAAAAAATACAGTTTTTTCACATTGTTTTTGCATTTTTTAATTACATGTTTTCACATTTCAAAAATAATGCATTTTTAAAACACATGTGTTCAGATTTTTTCGCATTTTTAATTTAAACTACTGCAACGCTTCTGTAGCTCAGTTGGCCTTGATAATGATATACATATTATAGATATATATATACACTCATAGAAACTTCTCAATATGAATGTCATCTTTAGTTGCTACTCTTCTATGTTCACTGTACGCCATGAAACAATGCTGTTATCTTACATATATGTTACTAGTGACTATGCACGCTCATGTGATGCACTGATGTTCACTGATTCACATCTAGTGTCCAGTGACTTTGTTGGATTCCCAGTAATCATATGCAAATCAGTACAGTCTTCGGCTCAACGTCAAAGATATATAAACCATGTGAACAGTGCTTTCTCAAATATGGCACAATCCAGACTGCAGGAAGCATGTTTGGACTGGCGAAAACACTTCTCCTTCCCCCCCCACGAACAAGTTGTCAAAAGAAGCAAAACAATGCTCTCTCTGTATGTCTCCGTCTATTGAGTCTGCTGTCTACTAAAGGATACCAAAGGCTTCTTCGGACTTGGCTGGATCATGCCTCGCTTTGTCTGTTTGAGCTGCAGCCTGTTACGAGTGGCAGGGAAACCGGTTGAGGATTATGCCTAATTATGCAACAAAGCGCTGCGGTCTGTGGTGAACGGCTGTGATGGCTGGCCTCGTGCTCAGAATTTGGAAACCCGCATCTACGGCAACGCTCCTCCACAATTTGTTACCATGAATTTATCATCAGGCATCATAAAGCAAGTGCTCTGACAGAATCCAACAGTCACAGGCTTCATAACGCCAAGTGTGATTCAGTGCAAAGGTATCTCCAGGACTATATACTGAGTCCACTGTACAACAATCGTGCACTCACTGTACTAATCTCTAGAGATCTCAAGGGCACTATGTCATCGGAGTCCTCTTCAGATGTTCCATCTTTCATTGCCTTCGCGGGCTCCAGGTCGTGGAGTTGCAGTGTTGTAAAACGTTGTGAAACAGTTTCAACATAAGCCTCGACAGTAAGATTCTCCTGGGATTTACAAGGAGACATTATATTTCCGAAGGAAGCAACCAGTTTTTTGCGTAATTTGGTAGTTTTGGAACAGGCAACCCCAGACCACATGACCCGAATGCACTTGCTGTTTTGCTCCGCTCCCGCGACCCAAGAGACCACCACGATTTTTAGCCAGAGCTCAGTGGGCAAAAAAACATTGATGCAAAATGATGCAAAATGATGCAGAATGATGCAAAATGATGCAAAATGATGCAAAGTGATACAAGAACTTAGAAGAACTATTGCACGTTGGAAAAATGAGAAATTAAAGGACAAGATAACCCTATATGTTAAGCCGTCCGGTTGTTATGAGCTGAAGGTACGCAGTGGAATGAGAAAGGAGGATAATGATCGGACAGCCGCAATAGCAGGAGAGAACAACAATCGGAAATAAATCGGTTTGAAAGGATGCGGTTGGACGAACTTTTAGAACACAATGAAACTGTTCGATGGACAAGGAAATATAAGGAAAACGACAGATGGACACAGTTTGGACACGGTTCGGACACGGCACAAGACAGAAGACACGACGGAGACACGTCGTCTCGATCGATCCAAATGTGGAGACAAGACCGCAGCATCAGCTCCCGCCTCGCTGCCCTGAATGTCTCATTATCATTTGCCTCCCGCCGGACCCGGTCACCACAGAGCGAGCGTCTCTTTTTTTCTGCGGTCAGTCACAACATCTCCTGCTCGTGCCTGAGGGCGGTGAACACGTGGCAGAC